GGATAATTGACCTGTTATCTAATGGTACCTGTATATATCCAGGGATCTTTTTAGCTGTCTGTAAGGGTGGCATTGTTCTGACTGGCAGCACAGTGGCATACTGGTTAGCACTTTCGCCTTGCAGTGATGTTCCCCGGTTCAAATTCTGGTCAGGACACTATCTGCAAGGAGTTTGCATTTTCTCCCTGTGATTGCATGGGTGTCCTCCAGGTACTCCAGTTTTCTCCAAAGACATGCTGGAAAGTGAATTGGCTCCAGTCAAACAAAAACAAGAAATCCTTGAAATATATAAATAGCAAAATGGTAAGGACAGAACATGTAGACCTAATAACAGACAAAGAGGGAAGATTAGCTACCAGCGACAGGGAGAAATCACATGCGTTAAATTATTTTCTTCTGTTTTTACAGATGAGACGGATATGTGTAACGATCAGGGCACCAGCTGCAGTAACAATAATAAAAGTTTTGACGTATCTCAGTGGGTGTCAGAGAGCACAGTGGTACAGAGGCTAGAAAGATTAAATGTTAACAAATCCCCAGGACCTGATGGGTTACATCCGAGGGTACTCAAGGAGCTTAGCCAGGTCATAAGCAGACCACTGTACATAATCTTTATGGACACTCTAATGACTGGTTCGGTACCAGCTGATTGGCAGAGAGCATATGTGGTACCAATATACAAAAAGGGGAAACTGAGTTCAACGGGTAACTAAAGGCCAGTCAGCTTAATGTCAAAAGTGTGCAAAATATTCAAAGGCCTGATAAGGGACTACATTGAGGAATTTGCGAATAAAATTGGTATCATAAGTAGAAACCAACATGGCTTCATGAAGGACCGTTCTTGTCAGACCAATCTAACTTTATTTTGAGGAGGTCAGTACTAATTTAGACAGAGGAACACCAGTAGATGTGGTGTATCTGCTAAAGCATTTGATACAGTACCCCACAAACGTTTGATTCACAAACTGAGGTCTATCGGTTTGGAGAAAACTGTTTGCACATGGGTGGAAAACCGGCTGCAAGAACGGACCCAGACGGTAGTAATAAATGGGTCATTCTCTAATTGGGCAAAAACAGGGGTGGGGTGCCCCAGGGGTCGGTTCTGGGACCAATTCTGTTTATCCTATTCATCAACGACATAGAACTTGGGATAGATAGTTCCATTTTCGCCAACGATACAAAACAGTGCAGGGCAGTACATTCTAAACCGGGAGATATGTGCACTTCAACAAGACCTAGATAAAATTGAAGCATGGGCAACACATTGACATATGCAATTTAATGTTGAAATATGTAAAGTTACGCACATGGGTGCAAAGAACGAGTGCTTCCAACAATTAAACGTATTCTCCTTAGAAAGGAGGCGATTAAGAAGGGACCTTATTGCAGTCTTCAAAATCATCAAAGGGGACAACAATATTCGAAACAAGTTGTTTTCTAACCTCTTGTTGTGTCCAAGTGTTCTCAGTACTGTTCTTGGTGAAGAGAGGGGGTTCAATCTTGGAATGCGCAAGGGTTTTTTTTACTGTGCACTGGCAGTTTCCTTCCACAGGCAGTGGTATCTGCTGATTTGCGTAGCTAGGTTCAAGAAACTTCCTAGATGAGTTTCTTCAATCACTAAATATACAAGGATATGGGAAGTGTTATATTCACATAGATACACACACACACACACACGCACACACACTGAACTGGATGGACATTGATCTTTATTCAACCTCACCTACTACCGTGTTTCCCCGAAAATAAGACACTGTCTTATATTTTATTTGGCTCAAAAAAACACACTAGGTCTTATTTTTGGGGTAGGTCTTATTTTTTTTTATGTACAACAATCAACTCTTATTCATGTAGAGAAGTCTACATGTATTCATGTACAAAAATATGGTGAGCAGGGCAATCAGGGGTGCCGTACCTTTCCAAGAGCAATTTGCTAACCAATTGCTGGCCAGAATGAGCAAAGCGCACTTTCACTATTGGATTCTCACAGGCGGAGTGCATTTGGTATCACTCCGCCTGTGACAGGAGTCGGCGCTATAGAGGAGGCATCGGCTTATGCGGCTCTGCTCCCTTCGGTGCCGCCTCGCTTCCTCTAGCACTGGCTTCGTTGGCACCACTGATTCTCTCCTGCCTCTCCTGCGGCTCTTCAAGTTCCCCCTTATGCCACCACCGGCCCTGGGAATGGTCACAACTAGGTCTTATTTTCGGGGTAGGTCTTATATTTCAGCAATTCCCAAATATAGTACTAGGTCTTATTTTCAGGGTAGGTCTTATTTTCGGGGAAACAGGGTATGTTACAGTTTTAGCCAGCTCTGTATGTACAGTATTGGCAAAGAAAATATCTTGGGTGCACCCACTATTAACTGTTTATTTATAAAATAAAGAATTCAGACAAGTGTGACAAATTATTAAAAAATTCAATTTGTGACTTGGTAAACCTTAGAAAAATGAAAATTGACCAAAGTCCATTACAGTTTTCTTTGAAAGTAAACCTATAATGGGTACAAATATTATGAACGAATATGAATGACATAGAACAGGCAATAAACGTTGCCACGGCATACCCCTACTATGATTCCTTGACTCCTTCAGAGCTTCCCAAAAAATCTTAAAAGTTAGGTATGGGGAAAATTATCAAGCCTAGCTCTCACCAGTAATTGCTGAGTGCCTGATCATCCAGTCACCAGACCAATCATGGTTATGGGGTGGGCCAGGTATACCCATTATTATTATTGAAGATAGGAGGTGGACAGAAATTGAACATAAAAGAGCCCCGAGGATTTGGTGTATCGCATCACTCAATAAAAAAATGGTGTTGCATAGGGAATTAGGGTTTCCTACTAGTCCATGGCAGCTTCACTTTTTCAAGGTAAATGTTTGGAAATACAGCGCATGGCAACACACAAAGATCTGCATGTGCGCATTTTGCACCCCTTAGTCCATCGCTTAGAGTCACAGCTGCATGCACATCTACATGTGTGCATGTTTATATAGCACATCTGGCACTGGCTTTAGCACAACCTAGGAAAGTTGTTGAGTGGCTGTCAACTTTTCTGACCTAATCTGCCCTTCTACTATCCGCTGTTTGACCTAGCCTGCCTCCTGACTTCATTGTAGGCTTGTTTCCTGCTTTTGACCTTGGCTTGTGTCCTGACTTTGGCTTTTACCGGCTGACTTGGTACCTCTGCTGCCTGTTTGATTGGGACCTTGCCATGGGCTCTGACCTTGGCATGGACTCTGACAACCTCTGCTGTCTTGTTGTAGCTTACTCCTGTTAGCCCTGACTACGATTCTGCGTCCTGCTCCTGTGCCCAATGTAATAACCAGCAGGCTGCTGTTAATGCCTGTGGACCATGTCTTCCTCTGCTTGTTTCAAAGACACTATGTATAGAGCCATTCTAAATAGCTCTGTATTTTGGGATCATTATGATTGGTCATAGAGAGACCAATCACACATGCAAACTATTTAGTGTTTACATCTGTGAGCCCTCCCCTTCCTCTCACATTGGAGGAAGGGGAGGAGAGAGGAACTGATGAATTAGCAATTAATTTGTTCCCATAACTGAACTGAGTGATCACAGCAGTGTCCCATTAATCCTTTCATCCCCATCCAACCACTGTATGTGACCTGTACATTAGCCCCCTCTCCTCCTCTTCCCACTGTGTTTGACCTGTACATTACATGTATCTAGTGCACCTTAACCAAGGTCCATGTTTTAACCACCTCAATACCTGCATATGTTTCTTCATTAACAAAAAAAGTGAAAAAAAAAAATGAGGCACCTTGAGGTATCTACCTTACAAAAAAGGGTCTACCTTACAAAAAGGCTTTGTTAACACTGTCCCGGAATGTTTATCTTAACAGAAATAAGGGAAACAGGTTCTTTCTTTTTTTTAAATGTTACATATATTAGTTTCACCTTTTAAGTTGCATTAGTGAAATAAATGAACTTTGCACGATATTCTAATTATTCGAGTTTCACCTGTATGTATGTATGTATGTATGTGTATATATATATATATATATATAATTAGAAAATAAAGAAAAATCCTGGTACTTATTAAAATCTTTTGAGGGGAGTCCTGGATAGGAGTAAAATCCAACAGGGGTTCCAACCCTATTCATATCAGCACACCTTGGTATAGTGATAATTTATTATTATTATTATTATACAGGATTTATATAGCGCCAACAGTTTGCGCAGCACTTTACAATATAAGGAAGACATTGCAATCGCAATACAATTCAAGACAAGATGGTAAGGCGGGCCCTAATCTTGTCCTTTATTCACAAAAAGAAACAGACATCACAAGCCAATGTTTAGGGACCTCGCATAATGCTTTGAGAAAGGGATTCTGTGAGGTCCTGCAATGTCAGCTTGTGAACCCTGTTTCTTTATGTGAACAAAGGACCATTATCAGTGTATCAAGGTGTGCTGGTGAGGATCCATGTTTTCCTATGATTGTATGGTGACATCCTCCACCATTTCACTACAGTACCCTGAATGGACTCGGGAGAAGCCTGTAAGATGTGTGATGGATACAATACAACTTCCCAAGGGGTTCAAACCCTTCCTTACTCTGTCCAAATGTTTGATTTGATTTTTGTTGTGGGTCACTGCACTTTCCTCCTAACTAGTCACCATAAGCCTAATGTTTTTTTTTTATCACTGAGTGTTTACCTCTTATACAGTATAGCCTTAGGTGTGCATTTATGTGAACATATACATTTTTTGTTAAATGGAAACATTTCTGTTTGTAAGTCTCATTCCGTTGAAATAATAATGCATCATGGTATATTTATGAAATGCTTTTCTGTTCAACTAAATGGAAAGTGGGAGGAATTTCTGAGAAAATTTCATGCTGCTAAATCTCGCTAGATTTATTTTTATCAAGTCAAATTAATGCAAAATCCCAGTGCAAGCCTTTGAATTTGAGGAACTTTGGAGGAGGGTCACTCCCTAATGGTAATTATTGGTTTTACATTTATTTTTTCACAGGGGAACTGATCACAGCCGCATATGAGCTTGGAGTAAGTATTAATTTTATTGTTTAATCAATGCTCTCATTAACAGTTTTAGGAATTAGGCAAGTTTAATTAAGCATGGAGCAAAGTAGATTAATTTATTTTCAAATCACGGTTTTACCAACTTATAAGTACAGTATGCCACAATTTACTTTACGTTTTAAATCCAATTAAACAAAATTATAAAGCAAAGATTTTACTGTATATACAGTTGCATAGCTTATTATCAACCCAAAATTTGGATAAGCTGGGGAGAATAAACTAAATCGGGTTAACAGTTTTAATAAGTTTTATTATTTAATAAACTTAATTATGGTGTCATGATCCCTTTAGGTAAGACTCAAAGTCTGTTAAAGTGGCACTAATCTCCAGACAGTGTGGTCTTCACAAATGGTAGTGGTTTGGTGGAGCGACATTCCCATTCTAAGAACAATATATGTCATAGGCTAAATTAAATGTCTGGACAATGAACAGTATCAAATAACCAATGATGATTAGACATATTTGATGTAAGGTATTTACAAGAAGTTTAACTGCAGACAAATACAGCAATTCCTCTGCATGACAGCGACATCAAGCACTTTTACTTAGGACGGTGTGGATGTAGGGTGCTGGATCCCAAGTTTTTCTGAACTAGCAGTGCAGAGTAGAGTACTTTGGGTAGAGTACACGGAGTGACTTCGGAAAGGCAGCCCTAATGGATTGGCCTCTGGGAGGTGCCTTGGACAAAAAGCAAGGCGTTTGGGAAGATAAAGGGTACCAAACCTATGGTTGAGAGTCCAAATTTTATGTATTTCCTCATAAAAACGTGAAGGAACAAGCCAACGTGTTTCTACATTAGGCCCCCCTTCATCAGGGCCTAATGTGCTGATTGAAATACGAAAATTGCTGGATTTAAATTGGCTAAGATGATTTGGGGGATAGTAATTGTTTGTATTGTATATTGTAGAGAAGGCTCTTGCTATGGGTTTTTGCAGCTTATATGGCCCAACATAGGTCTAGCCAATGAGTAGTATAAACTTACCAGTGAGGATTATAGAGTTTTTGGATTGATGTAAGGATTTGCAAGGAATGTAGCTACAGAAAGATTTAGTATCTCCTCTGTCTGTCAGTCACGTTGGTAGGTTTTACATTGGGGGGCAAAGGAGTCACAGATGTCAATGGAAAATTTAGATCCTTACACCTTGGAGACCCACACTGGCTTCTCAAATGTTAAAAAAAAGTTAATTAAGTAAAACTCTAGTTTTGTTGAGAAAAAAGTCCCCTCCATGTTAGCAAAATACATTGCAGGTACTTTTTTCTAAGTTATTGCAGATTCTTACCTTTTTTTCCTTTTCTGGGCAAACTGATATTACTACATCCTTAAATTGATTGGGGGAGTGTTGCCTTGATTATTAATGCCTGCACAGTCTCTGCATTATAATAAGAAAACAAGCATTATGTTCATATTTTTAGCAGCAAAATCTTTAAAAATATCTTGCCAAAAACGTAATTCCTACAGAATTGACTGGCAGCAATATTACTTCCTGCTTTGTGCAGATTTTGGTATAGCAAACAAGAAATTACTTTCTAAATTTCCTCCTAGAAACATAAATGGCATACAGAACACCCTCAGTTTGCTATATTGCAGACTTATAAAATCACAGCTACTAAAGATTACAATCAAAAGGTAATTTTATTAACTAAATATTATTAGGAAAGTCCAAGGTTATTGTGGCCTAGTGTTCTAGGTAGCTCTCCATAGTAAAACAAATTGTCCTCTTGCCGCAGTTTCATCGGCCGCACAGGAACATCAATGCCTGCGTTCCGGTCTAGTGCGGTCAGAAAAAAATGCTGTTTTTATGACCAGACCGGAATGCAGGCATTGATGTGCCACGCGTTTCTGTGCGGCTGATCGCACTGCGGCAAGAGGGTGTAGCTGCAGTCCCATTAAGTTCAATGCACCGCCACAGCCCCTCCCGCTAGAAAACAGAAAGCCGGCCGGAATGCGATCCGGTGCATTTCAGCCAGAATCGGGCCGGAACGCACTGAGGCTGGTGTGAACTAGCCCTGAAGCAGGTTAAATGCAGGCCAGAAGGAGGTCAAATGCACCTGTCGATGAATACTTAATGGTCTCTGAAGCATCTCAAACTGATGCCATTGACCCAAGCCGAAGGTCCGTCAATATAGGCTAGACATGTGCGATTCGGTTCGTTCCGAAATTCGTTTTGGACGAATTTTCGGAAATTCGGAGATCCGGATGCATCCGAATTCCGAATTACAGCTAAGACGAATGCAAACGGATCCGAAATTCCCGATTTCCCGAAATTCGTTATTGGACGAATTTCGTTGCAGCAAAATGACATTAGGAAGCCAGACATCTATACTTCTATACAGTACAGAGGCTATAGAGTAGTGGTTAAAGCCCAGGCTTGCCATTGCTAAGGTCCTAGGTTCAATTCCAGGGCTAGTCAGGTTTAAAGTTTTTTGTTTTTTTTTCCTTTGCTTTTGAATTGGCATTCTCCTAACATTCCTACCAGACTTAAAGGGTCTGGTATGAATTGGGGGGGAACCTCAGGCTTTTTTTTTGTCATCTTCTGCAGACTGTCATTTTTGTTCCCCCCTAATGTCATTTTGACGCAACGAAATTCGTTATTGGACGAATTCTGTTGCAGCAAAATGATTTTTTTTTTTTACAGTCTGCAGAAGATGAAAAAAAAAAAAGCGTGAGGTTCCCCCCCAATTCATACCAGACCCTTTAGGTCTGGTAGGAATGTTAGGAGGCCCCCCCCCCTCCTTATAACACAAAAAAAAGTGCGTGGGGTTCCCCCCAAAATCCATACCAGACCCTTAAGGTCTGGTAGGAATTTTAAAGGGGAACCCCAGCCCCAAAAATGGGGGGAAAAAAACGTGGGGTCCCCCCTAACAGTCCTACCAGACCCTTGATCCGAGCACAGGCCCGGCAGGGCAGGAAAGGGGGGGGACGATCGAGAGCCCCCCCCCTCCCTGCGCCTTACCAGGCCACGTGCCCTCGGCATTGGGAGGGTGTCCCCATGCCGATGGGGACAAGGGCCTCTTCCCCACAACCCTGACCCGGTGGTTGTGGGGGTCTGCGGGCAAGGGGGCTTATTTGCATCGGGGTACCCCTTTAAATAAGGGGGCACCCAGATGCCCCCCCCCCATGTGAATGAGTAAGGGGTACTTGTACCCCTACCCATTCACTAAAGGGTTAAATCAAATAGTTAGTAAAAAGTCCAGACTTTTGACAAAATCCTTTAATTGAAAAAAAAACAAACAGCCATTTTTTGACTATTCCTTTAATAAATAAAAAAAAAAAAAAATGGCTCCATCGATGTAATCCAGAGTCAGGATCAGGATGCAGGACCCCCGCCGACCCGCCGAAATAAAAAAAGTCCCGCCGCAGACGACCACCCGACGAAAACCAGAAGAAAAAAAATGACATTCAGTCTGTCAACAGATGGGCAGAGTGAGCCATGATGTCACGGCTCGCTCCGCCCATTTGACAGTCTCAGCTATCAAATGCTACATATTGCATTCATATATATCAAATGCTTCTAAGCTTACAATACAGAGGTTATAGAGTAGTGGTTAAAGCACAGGCTTGCCATAGCTAAGGTTGCAGGTTCGATTCCAGGGCAAATCAAGTAATATTTAAAGGTTTTTTTTTTTCCATAAACGAATTTCGTCCGTAACTAATTTAATTTCGGACCCGAAACTAAACTAAACGAATTTTTTTTTCTTTTGTTTCAAAACGAAACTAAACAAATTTTTTTTTTTTCATAACGAAACTAAACTAAACGAATTTTTGGCTGGTGCACATGTCTAATATAGGCCCTGACAGAGCTTTAATGTCTATGTGCACTGCAAACACCTCTAGATATACCCTTATGACACAGGAAAGAAGGGCACATTTAATCACATAATATGGAGGCAAAGGACTCATCCCTTTAACACCCCCAGTTATCCTGACCCTGAAGCATTCACATGGAAAAATGATTGGTTAAACCCACGAGTGCTGTTTCATTGCTAATTTTTCCTTTATACTGGCCATTACAAAAACAAATGCAATAATATAGAGGCAGGCTGAAAGGTTTAGTGCAGTGTAACACTTTTGGTATTTAAATAGTACAGTGTAACACTTTTGGTATTTAAATAGTACATTTTATAGAGATCTATACATCAGAACAAAAAGAGGGGAGGGGAACGGGGGGAAAAGGGCAAAGGGTTTTGGTTTCAAACAAGGAATAGTCCCCCCACTTGAGGGACAGTTGGGAACTAGACCTTACCTAAAAAATTCAGCCCTGTGGACCTCAGTGGCAGAAAAGAATAAATGGGATTGCCACATGGCTGTGGCAATGGAGACTCTTTAGGGATGCAATAGTACAGGTTTGACAGGATGAATACCTGGGCTAAATTACAGTATATTTTGCTAAAATTTTTATTATTTTCTGTTTTGTTTTTTTCCCCAGGTTGCTCATCCCCCCGGCTACCCACTGTTTACTCTGCTTGCTAAGGCAGCAATGGTCTTGGTACCAGTCGGCTCCCTAGCATATCGTGTTAATCTTCTTTGTGGTCTGTTTGGAGCAGCAGCTGCAGCCCTGTTGTTTAGTGCAACATTCAGGTACCAAATGTAATTATTTGTAGCTTTTAAGATCAATACAGATAAGGTCAGCTCAAAGCATCTTCACAAAGGCATCACAAGGCCACGCTTTTTTGAGGTGGAATTCGTAGCTACCATTCACTTCTAGGAAGAATGTCTGCTGTAATGCCCTCAAAGTACTGCTGAGCACAAGTAAGTAGGGGGAGTCTGTGTAGCAATGTACCCCTGTGCCTGGTGAGATACGATGCAGCACCAACTCACCCTTCCTGTGTGCTATAGACTGTTTTAACCATAAATATGAATGCAGTTGGATGGACACGGACATGGATGCTGTACGGTGGCTGATCCTAAAAGCTTGAAGTGCTTAAAGGAGAACTATGGGGGTTAAGGCTTTTCCCCATAGTTCTCCTCAGGGTAACAGGAGGACACAAACTAGCATCCTCCTGTCACCCTAAGCTCAGTATACCGCGAGCTACAGCTCGCGGTATACTGTGACGCCACAGTACACCGCGAGCTGCTGCTCGCTGTATTCTGAGACACGGCAGCTGAAGCGGATCCCAACAATTATATCTGGATCTGCCCAGCTGCAAGAGTGACAGCTGGCTCTGGCTATCTAGAGGCAGAGGCAGCTGTACCCGCCCCCTCCCCTGTCCGATCCGCCAGTCAGCGCTGGCGGATCGGAGGGGGGAATCCAGCCCCTCCCCTGGCACGGCGGGGACCTGGGACAGGCCCCGGAGGGGGGGGGGGAATCCAGCCCCTCCCCTGTCACGGCGGAGAGCTGTGACAGGATCGAGAGGTGAGCAACGCCGGTATGTGTTTGCTCACTTCTCGATCTACTGAGCCGACCTGTGACAGTTTCATTGTCACAGGTCGGCTAGAACCATGAGGTGAGTGAAAAGCACTCACCTCATAGTTCTCCTTTAATGGTTTGGAGAGCGCAGAATGAATGGCTGCGGAGGGTCCTATTCTGTATTCATAGAGTACAATATTCTCTACTGTCCTCTCTGCAAAGGTCCATTCATTCTACGGCTAGACTTTTGCGTAAAATGAGTTAAACTGCTGTAACCAGAAGGTTTAATAGGGCCTCTTGAATCCAACTGTCTTAACAAAGTATGTTGGCAGATTATGTGGGGAGTACGCCCCATAGCATTAAAAATTTCCTCACATTTGCCCTGTGGAGAATAGAGCCAAATTCAAACCTAATTACTAATACTACAAACAATTACTATAGTAGCTAAGAATGGCATTAGGCCCATCCCATTTTTCTTCCTTTAGTACTTTCCCTGAAAACACAGCCATAAAATACACAGATCATGATAGAAATATGTTTTAGTTATAACTGGCCTCATTCTTAAAATGCTAGCTACCTGGCTGGCCTGTTCAATACTGATCAGGAAAAAGCAAACATATAAGGTCAGAGATGAGAGGAAATGTTTTTTTTTCTATACCTATCAGTGACTTAAAAAAGTATTAGACCAAAGAATCAAAATGACAGCCAGCCAATTAGCATTTGCAGAATGCGAGGCCAGCAGGTTTAGCCTACATATTTTATCATGGCATCGCTTTGTATGAAATATTTATTTGTTTTTATATTCTTTTAACTGAGGTTCCCAACATACCACAATGGATCTAAAATAGCAGGCTGCATTTTCTTTTTAATGCAGGAGGTGTCGCCCAATGCACCAACACATGTACAGTGCGTGGGTGAGTCCTTGCACACTCCACCTCTCTGCCAGCCCTGGTTTGGGGTTTAAATGTTTGTAAAACAAAATGTAATATTCATTGCAAAAATAAATAGCATTAAAATATCAGTTGAAAAAACTGAGCCAATACCATTAAAGTTTCCCTTTTAAAATGATCCTTTCCATCCCACATACTAGCTAAGTAATTTCAGGAATAAAAAGCAGGCACCCCCAAGTACTTTCAAAGATTTTTCAGACCTCAATGAGATATCTGTTACTTGGGGTGCTATGATGTGTCAACCTCCTCATCGCACTATTTGTTCTTAAATGTGATTGAAAGTTTCATTGATGAGACTTAAGTTGGACACACATGCACCGAGTTTCGGCCGATTCAGCAGGAATCGGTTAAAATTCGATTTGTTGGTGACCCTATTCCCTCAGCAGAAGTTAGTTATTAGATCGGCTTTTGCTGAAGGAACAAGTTGGAAAACTTTTCAGGCGAACTGTGTTTGAAGCCAATAAGCTGCAAGCATCAATACCGTTCGGGCAGTCTGACAGCAGCTGGCGACTGCTGTCAGGATACAATAGAAGCAGCAGGAAGCTGAACAGCGTGGATGGAAGAATCTGTTATATTTTCTTTGTTCAGTCCACAGGTTGAATGAAGAAGATATATCCGTGTATACCCGAATTAAGCAGCAAATAATTGTTTGTTTTGTATTTTTTGATTTTGATACCAAGGTAGAAGCAATAGCACTTGGAGGAAAAGTTGTGATGATCACCTGCTTCCTCTTTCAGGCACTTTCTGTCAACATGTACTTGCTCCAGTGGGAGCTGCACATTATTGCCCCGGCTTCCTAGTCGGCCATACCTGTACAATGTGTGTCACCCCAGCAGCCTGTAGTTGCAACCAGGGTAGCATGTAACAAGGTGACCACACAGGAGCACAGTTGCGAGACAATTGTCACCCCATAACACAAAGGACCTACACTGTGCGAATAACAGGTATTCTTTTATTAAAAGCAGCAACTTGAAAGCAGCTTTAGAGATCACATTACCATGTTACATCTTATATGTGATTTGTTTATGGTGATATTGATTGTTTTCAGATCTACTTTAATTTGTAATGGTTGGAAAGTGCCTTTAACTTCCATTCTACAAACAAGTAGGTTTATATAGCATCTTTAAATAATAGTTGAAGGTGAAATTAAATGATAGTAATGTCATGTTAATCTGGTTGGATGTGAGCACATTTCTTGTTGTATATGATAAAGCAGAACCATTTGTAAGCTGCAGATATGTTAGTTTACCGCCACATTAGCCAATCTTACTAATTGGGACTACAGCTTTGATGGTGCTTTTGCTTGGCTGCCAAACCAGTCTTGCAAGCAGTCACAACTGCCAGTTTTCTTGTCTCTGTGATGTTCGTGCTTATTGACCCATAAACACTAGATATTTCTGAACTTTTGTTTTAAACTTCGTCTGAACTTGGCCACCCACTAAAATAAGAATGTGTTCAGTTGACAGGTTCCTAAATTGTGCCAAAATCCCATTGGACATTAGGGCACAAGGCATAGATATTATTTTCCCTAGACCATGCTTTTCACCCGAGTCATCTTCTTTAGAGAATTTAGCATAGGGCATTAAACCACCTGTGGATATAATAGTAAAATATACTATGTTGTGTATTTTTGTTATACATCACAATGTTCCCGGTTAGGTTTTGCTATTTTGTTGCATTTATACATCACTAGCTTGTTCTGTTGGTTTTTGCAGTAGGGGGTACACCAGATATTGTAATGAAACATTAGTGGATATATCAGTTATTAAACCTGTGCTGTCTAGAACTTCTAAAATGTGTAAAATTATATGACTAGTCATGGGGACAACACAGGCATGTTCACACCACTATTCACACCACTATTTACATGTTGTTCTGTGCATAATGCAGATACACTGGTATGCATTGTAATGTGCATTGTAGTGCATTGTTAAAACACATAGCTTTGCTTTATTTTCTTTAAAAAAAAGTTCATGTTATATTGTGCGCTGTAGCGTGCTGCAATGTGTTACAGCTTGTTAAAACATGCTGCACAAAAAAAGCATGGTATATTGGTATGAACTGAAAGCATATAGGACATGAGGGAAATTGCCTTGGTCTTGGGACTGTGTTGGGCAACGCAGCCCATGGCTGCTTGTGTGAATGGGTGAGGGTCCTAAAGTTTATCTGTAGCCATCACCCATCAATGATCCTATTAATAGCAATAATAACACAAAAACCTTTCTGTCACTCATGAGTAGTGTTTGGCTGAAGCCATTTATTGTCAATCAACTGTGTTTACTCTTTTTCAATCATAATGACAACAGAAACTACTCAAATGACCCTGATCAAAAGTTTACATACCCCAATACGGTGTGTTGCCCCCTTTAACTACCTTACGTCCATGGCCGTTTGTGAACGGCCAGATGGACGTCTGCTCAGAGCGGGAGGGCGTCTTAAGACGTCCTGCCCCTCCCCCCTCTCGTGTCCGCGCTGAGCGCCGCACACGAGAGGGAAAACCGTCAGCATGTAAACAGCAGTGAGACTTGTGTCTATGCTGTTTGGCGTATTGTAAGCGGGATACTTTGTGGCATTTGCATAGTAATGGCTTTCTTCTGGCGACTTGACCATGCAGCCCATCTTTCTTCAAGTTCCTCCTTAATGTGCATCTTGCAACAGCCACACCACATGTTTTCAGAGTGTCCTGTATTTCAGCTAAGTTATTTGTGGGTTTTTCTTTGCATCCCCAACAATTTTCCTGGCAGTTGTGGCTGACAGTTTAGTTGGTCTACCTGACCGTGGTTTGGTTTCAACAGAACCCCTCATGTTCCACTTCTTGATTAGAGTTTGAACACTGCTGATTGGCATTCTCAATTCCTTGGATATCTTTTTATATCCCTTTCCTGTTCTATACAGTTCAACTACCTTTTCCCGTAGGTCCTTTGACAATTCTTTTGCTTTCCCCATGATTCAGAATCCAGACACGTCAGTGGAGCACTGGATGAAGAATGCAAGGGTCTGTCAGTAGGCCAAAAACTCATTGGCCTTTTATACACACACACACAATGATTACATGCAAACAGTACACAGGTAAGGATGGTTCCTTTTAATAGCCATTCACACCCCTTTGTGTCAACCTGTGTGCATGTTATCAGGCCCAAATCACCAGGGTATGTAAACTTTTGATCAGGTTCATTTGGGTAGTTTCTGTTGTCATTATGATAGGAAAAGAGTAAACACAGTTGATTTATAATAAATGGCTTCAGCCAAACACTACCCATGAGTGACAGGTTTTCGTGTTA